TTTAGTGATGTTGGCTGGAAATATCTCTTCAATCAGCGGCTTTGATGGACGATCCTGGTTGGGGGTAGTAGGTCTAAAACAAAAAGGAAGACCGTACAACAAGGAGTCCAGAACAGGCAAAAAGTCAGAAAAAGCAGCAAACTTACGTGGGAAAAATCAGAGAGGCTCCCTCAGAAGACTCGGCCTCCGTGGTAACCCCTGGTGTAACCAAGGGCGCCTCGCCTGCAGGGACCGCGCCACGGGTACACAGGGAAATGCGTAGTTGTCGAGCTAGATCTCTTGAAGCACTGGCACGAGTCGACACAACTTGCTCCACTTGCTGCAGCAAGGGAACCAACTGAGCAAAACAGTCGCGTACTGCGGACGGCACTTTGTCGCCTACCTGGTGATGGAAATAAACTTCTAGTTGTTTATTGGCACCACAGCAGACTACATATCTGAAAAAAGGTTGGCTATTGAGGGATTTAACACACGCTTGAGGTTGTTTATTTAGTTCATTGGGTTGACTTGGGACGCAAAATACTGTTAACCAGAATTGCATTCCGTTTATATCAGTAAACAAGGGATAAAATATAGGCGGAAATGGGCGAAATCCAGCGTTTGTTGATATATGAGGAAATTTCTACGCTATTAAACGCTGCGGAAAAGAACTTCTTGTTTGTGCGTATTGCAGTATAAAAGAACATTCATGAAGAGCCGGAACTTTTTAATTATATATGTTTACAACCGGCGAATTTTGTTTCGCTTCCATGAAATTGAGGTTAGTGTACGTGTGGGATAAAAAATTATTGCAGGGAAAAGAAATGTGATTTCAGTTAACAAAATTTTCCTTACAAATCTATGATGTTTTTTGCCCTAAAGATAAGTAATAAACTTACAAGAGACCAAAATGTGTTTTAGTACGCCGAAATTACTGGTCCTATTTGACTGTACACAAAGTACCTCGGGATGTCATTAATTTTCTTAGTAACAGTTTTAAGTAAATCCTTTCAAAGGTTGTGAAAATATAAAAGAAAATCAACGAATATAAAAACTTGGAACAGAACAGACAAAAGATTATCA